AGAGAGAGAGGATCCAGTAGCGATCAGTGAAGAGGCGGGGCCAGGAGCTGAGTCTCGACCCCTGCAACCACAATTAAGTGAGTACAATTAGGTGAGTACACACACACACACACACACACACACACACACACACACACACACACACACACAAGAGAGAGAAGGGGGTGGGTAGATTGCATTTTCTTGGACTGTAAGAAGGCGTTTGACACAGTTCCACACAAGAGATTAGTGCAAAAGCTGGAGGACCAAGCAGGGATAACAGGGAAGGCACTGCAATAGAACAGGGAACACCTGTTGGGAAGACAACAGCGGGTCATGGTACGTCTTGAGGTGTCAGAGTAGGCACCTGTGACGAGCGGAGTTCCACAGGTGTCAGTCCTGGGACCGGTGCTGTTTCTGGTATATGTAAACGACATAACGGAAGGAATAGACTCAGAAGTGTCCCTGTTCGCAGATGATGTGAAGTTGATGAGAAGAATTCAGTCGGACGAGAACCAGGAAGAACTACAGCCAGTTTTTGGACAGGCTGCAGACTCGGTCCAGATACTGGCTCCTGGAGTTCAGTTCCACCAAGTGCAAAGTCATGAAAATTGGGGAATGGCAAAGAATACCGCAGACGGAATACAGTCTAGGGGGCAAGAGACTACAAACCTCACTCAGGGAAAAAGATCTTGGGGTGAGTATAACACCAGGCACATCTGAAGCGCACATCAACCAAATAACTGCTGCAGCATATGGGCGCCTAGCAAACCTCAGAACAGCATTCCGACATCTCAATAAGGAATCGTTCAGGACCCTGTACACCGTGTACGTTAGGCCCATATTGGAGTATGCGGCACCAGTTTGGAACCCAACCTAGGTTTGCAGCAAGACTAGTCCCGGAGCTAAGGGTAATGTCCTACAAGAAGAAATTAAGGGAAATCGACCTAATGACACTGGAGGACAGGAGAGATAGGGAGGACATGATAACGACATATAAAATACTGAGAGGAATTGACAAGGTGGGTAGAGACTGGATGTTCCAGAGATGGGACACAGCAACAAGGGGTCACAGCTGGAAGCTGAAGACTCAGATGAATCACAGGGATGTTAGGAAGTATTTCTTCAGTCACAGAGTTGTCAGGAAGTGGAAGTCTGGGAAGTGATGTAGTGGAGGCAGGATCCATAAATAGCTTTAAGAAGAGGTATGATCAAGTTCATGGAGCAGGAAGAGTGACCTAGTAGCGACCTGTGAAGATGCAGGACCAGGAGCTGTGAATCGACCCCTGCAACCGGAACTAGGTGAGTACAATTAAGTGAGTACATACACACACGCACATACGCACACATGCGCACGCGCGCACACACACACACAGCCAGGAGTTATGACTCGACCCCTGCAACCACAATTGGGTGAGCACATACGTACGCACGCACATACGCACGCACGCACATACGCACGCACGCACGCACGCACGCACACACAACACACACCCACACACACACACACACACACACACACACACACACACACACACACACACACACACACACACACACACACACACACACACACACACACACACACACACACACAATATATATATATATATATATATATATATATATATATATATATATATATATATATATATATATATATATATATATACGCACGCAATATGGGTCATATTGACCCATACCGGAGTACGCAGCACCAGCATGGAACCCAAACCTGGTCAAGCACGCCAAGAAATTAGAGAAAGTGCAAAGGTTTGCAACAAGACTAGTTCCAGAGCTAAGAGGTATGTCCTATGAGGAGAGGTTAAGGAAAGCCAACCTGACAACACTAGAGGAGAGGAGAGATAGGGGGAGACATAATAACAACATATAAAATACTGAGAAGAATTAACAAGGTGGACAGGGACAGAATGTTTCATAGATGGGACACAGCAACAAGGTGTCACAACTGGAAGATAAAAACTGAGGTGAGTTACAGGGATGTTAGGAAGTATTTCTTCAGTCATCGAGTTGTCAGGAAGTGGAACAATCTGGAGAGTGATGTAGTGGAGGCAGGATCCATACATAGCTTTAAGAAGAGGTATGATAAAGCTCATGGAACAGGGAGTGGACTCAGTAGCGACTAGTGAAGAGGCAGGGGCCAGGAGCTGTAAATCAGCCCCGGTAACCACAACTAGGTGAGTGCACACACACACACTGCAGTATAATCGCTACCAGGTCACTAGGATGTCAGTATCAATATTATCAGGTCACTAGGATGTCAGTATCAGTACCAGGTCACCAGGATGTCAGTATCAATATTACCAGGTCACTAGGATGTCAGTATCAGTACCAGGTCACCAGGATGTCAGTATCAATATTACCAGGTCACTAGGATGTCAGTATCTATATTACCAGATCACTAGGATGTCAGTGTCGGTACCAGGTCACTAGGATGTCAGTATCAATAGGACCAAGTCATTAGGATGTCAGTATCAATAGTACCAGGTCACTAGGATGTCAGTATCAGTACCAGGTCACTAGGATGTCAGTATCAGTACCAGGTCACTAGGATGTCAGTATCAATAGTACCAGGTCATTAGGATGTCAGTATCAATATTACCAGGTCGCTAGGATGTCAGTACCAATAGTACCAGGTCACTAGGATGCCATTATCAATATTACCAGGCCACTAGGATGTCAGTATCAATAGTACCAGGTCATTAGGATGTCAGTATCAATATTACCAGGTCACTAAGATGTCAGTATCAATAGTACTAGGTCACTAGGATGTCAGTATCAATAGTACCAGGTCACTAGAATGTCAGTATCAATAGTACCAGGTCACTAGGATGTCAGTATCAATAGTACCAGGTCACTAGGATGTCAGTATCAATATTACCAGGTCACTAGGATGTCAGTATCAATAGTACCAGGTCACCAGGATGTCAGTATCAATAGTACCAGGTCGCCAGGATGTCAGTATCAATAGTACCAGGTCACCAGGATGTCAGTATCAGTAGTACCAGGCCACCAGGATGTCAGTATCAATAGTACCAGGTCACTAGGATGTCAGTATCAGTACCAGGTCACCAGGATGTCAGTATCAATAGTACCAGGTCACTAGGATGTCAGTATCAGTACCAGGTCACTAGGATGTCTTTAACATCACTAGGAAGGCTCTCAGGTCAGCAGGTGGACAGTAGGAGAGGGGCAGATCAGCAGTAGGTACATTAGCAGGTGGGCAGCAGCGAGGGCTGAGGTGGGCAGTAGATAGAATGGAGCAGGTGGGCAGCAGGGAGGCTTAAAGCCCACCTCCCATGTTGAGGTGGGTTACAGGGGAGGTGGGCAGGAGCAGGGAGGGTTAAGCAGGTGCACAGCAGAAGGGAGGTTGTAGCAGGTGAGCAGCAGCAGCAGGTAGACTCACCCTCACAGGTATATCCCTGACCTATACCTCACAAGAGGTCAGTATAGCAGGTAGACTCACCCTCACAGGTATATTCCTGACCTATACCTCACAGTAGGTCAGTATAGCAGGTAGACTCACCCTCACAGGTATATCCCTGACCTATACCTCACAAGAGGTCAGTATAGCAGGTAGACTCACCCTCACAGGTATATCCCCTGACCTATACCTCACAAGAGGTCAGTATAGCAGGTAGACTCACCCTCACAGGTATATCCCTGACCTATACCTCACAAGAGGTCAGTATAGCAGGTAGACTCACCCTCACAGGTATATCCCTGACCTATACCTCACAAGAGGTCAGTATAGCAGGTAGACTCACCCTCACAGGTATATCCCTGACCTATAATACCCCACAATAGGTCAGTATAGCAGGTAGACTCACCCTCACAGGTATATCCCTGACCTATACCTCACAAGAGGTCAGTATAGCAGGTAGACTCACCCTCACAGGTATATCCCTGACCTATACCTCACAAGAGGTCAGTATAGCAGGTAGACTCACCCTCACAGGTATATCCCTGACCTATACCTCACAAGAGGTCAGTATAGCAGGTAGACTCACCCTCACAGGTAATCCCTGACCTATAATACCCCACAATAGGTCAGTATAGCAGGTAGACTCACCCTCACAGGTATATCCCTGACCTATAATACCCCACAATAGGTCAGTATAGCAGGTAGACTCACCCTCACAGGTATATCCCTGACCTATAATACCCCACAATAGGTCAGTATAGCAGGTAGACTCACCCTCACAGGTATATCCCTGACCTATAATACCCCACAATAGGTCAGTATACCAGGTAGACTCACCCTCACAGGTATATCCCTGACCTATAATACCCCACAATAGGTCAGTATAGCAGGTAGACTCACCCTCCACAGGTATATCCCTGACCTATAAATACCACCACAATAGGTCAGTATAGCAGGTAGAACTCACCCTCACAGGTATATCCCTGACCTATAATACCCCACAATAGGTCAGTATAGCAGGTAGACTCACCCTCACAGGTATATCCCTGACCTATAATACCCCACAATAGGTCAGTATACCAGGTAGACTCACCCTCACAGGTATATCCCTGACCTATAATACCCCACAATAGGTCAGTATAGCAGGTAGACTCACCCTCACAGGTATATCCCTGACCTATACCTCACAATAGGTCAGTATAGCAGGTAGACTCACCCTCACAGGTATATTCCTGACCTATACCTCACAGTAGGTCAGTATAGCAGGTAGACTCACCCTCACAGGTATATCCCTGACCTATACCTCACAATAGGTCAGTATAGCAGGTAGACTCACCCTCACAGGTATATTCCTGACCTATACCTCACAATAGGTCAGTATAGCAGGTAGACTCACCCTCACAGGTATATCCCTGACCTATACCTCACAATAGGTCAGTATAGCAGGTAGACTCACCCTCACAGGTATATCCCTGACCTATACCTCACAATAGGTCAATATAGCAGGTAGACTCACCCTCACAGGTATATTCCTGACCTATACCTCACAATAGGTCAATATAGCAGGTAGACTCACCCTCACAGGTATATCCCTGACCTATAATACCCCACAATAGGTCAGTACAGTGATGGCAGTAGACAGGCTTGTGGAAGGTGCGCTTAACGAAGCAATGCGCGGGCGGGGAGGTGGGCGGCGGTTGCAGGTGCGCCATAGTGCGCTGCTTCCCGTCGTGGCCGCTGCAGGAGTCGCCTGTGCGCTTCAGCAGGTATTTGTGCGCCGCCGCGGACGACACCTCCTCCTGCTGGGGGTGGTGGTCGTCGTCCTGGTGGTCGTGGTGCAGCTCCTGGTCGTGCTGGTGTTGGTGGGCGGGCGCCGCAACAAACAACCAGCGCCACCACCTCAACCACCAGCAGCAGAAGCACCGTTGGTGGCGTTGCTGCTGCTGCGGGCGGTTCTCAGGGCGGCCCTGAGCCTGCCGACAGCGTGGCTGCGCCGCGCTCAACAGCCCGGAGTAGTGCGCTGGGCGCCGCCCGTCCCTGCTACTGGGCGGTGGGACCTGAGGCAGACACGGGTCATCCTCACGGTGTTAACATGTACACTGAAGCTAGCTAAGACTCTCACAGCAGCGCCATCTTCTCTCCCTCATGTAGTGACAGCCAGCATCACAGCGCAGGCGCCCACCCCTGCCCCACCCCGGGGCGTAGTGGGTGAGGGAGGACCCCTACATCACCCCCAGGGCCCTCACTCACCCTGGCACTCACCCTTATCACAAGACCCTCCCTTACCCTGGCACTCACCCTTATCACAAGACCCTCCCTTACCCTGGCACTCACCCTTATGACAAGACCCTCCCTTACCCTGGCACTCACCCTTATGACAAGACCCCTCACTCACACCAGGACCCTCACACCAGGACCCTCACCCCAGGACTCCCTTACTCCAGGGTCCTCACTCCAGGACCTTCACTCCTAGGTCCTCACTCCAGGGCCCCCCTCACTCTAGGGCCCCCTCACTCCAGGGCCCTTTCTTACCCTGGGGTTCTCCTTCACCAAATTTCTCACCATAACTCGGACCTTCATCACCCTGGTCTCCTCCACCTTGGTCTCCATCACCCTAACCTCCATCACCCTGACCTCCATTACCCTGACCTCCATCACCCTGACCTCCATTACCCTGACCTCCATTACCCTGACCTCCATTACCCTGACCTCCATTACCCTGATCTCCACCACCCAGGCCTCCATCACCCTAACCTCCATCACCCTGACCTCCATTACCCTGACCTCCATCACCCTGACCTCCATCACCCAGGCCTCCATCACCCTGACCTCCATCACCCAGGCCTCCATCACCCAGGCCTCCATCACCCAGGCCTCCATCACCCAGGCCTCCATCACCCAGGCCTCCATCACCCTGACCTCCATCACCCTGGCCTCCATCACCCAGGCCTCCATCACCCTGACCTCCATCACCCAGGCCTCCATCACCATGACCTCCATCACCCTGACCTCCATCACCCCGACCTCCATCACCCAGGCCTCCATCACCCACGCCTCCATCAGCCTGACCTCCATCACCCTAGCCTCCATCACCCTGACCTCCATCACCGTGGCCTCCATCACCCTGACCTCCATCACCCAGGCCTCCATCACCCTGACCTCCATCACCCTGGCCTCCATCACCCTGGCCTCCATCACCCTGGCCTCCATCACCCTGACCTCCATCACCCTGACCTCCATCCCCTACCCCATCACCCTGACTCCATTACCCAGGCCTCCATCACCCTGACCTCCATCACCCTGACCTCCATCACCCAGGCCTCCATCATCCTGACCTCCATCACCCAGGCCTCCATCACCCTAACCTCCATCACCCTGACCCCCATCATCCTGGCCTCCATCTCCCTGGCCTCCATCACCCTGACCTCCATCACCCAGGCCTCCATCACCCAGGCCTCCATCAGCCTGACCTCCATCACCCTAGCCTCCATCACCCAGGCCTCCATCACCCTGACCTCCATCACCCAGGCCTCCATCACCCTGACCTCCATCACCCTGACCTCCATCACCGTGGCCTCCATCACCCTGACCTCCATCACCCAGGCCTCCATCACCCTGACCTTCATCACCCTGGCCTCCATCACCCTGACCTTCATCACCCTGGCCTCCATCACCAAGGCCTCCATCACCCTGACCTCCATCACCCTAACCTCCATCACCCAGGCCTCCATCACCCTAACCTCCATCACCCGGGCCTCCATCACACTGACCTCCATCACCCAGGCCTCCATCACCCTGACCTCCATCACCGTGGCCTCCATCACCCTGACCTCCATCACCCAGGCCTCCATCACCCTGACCTTCATCACCCTGGCCTCCATCACCCTGACCTTCATCACCCTGGCCTCCATCACCCAGGCCTCCATCACCCTGGCTTCCATCACCCTGGCCTCCATCACCTTGACCTCCATCACCCAGGCCTCCATCACCATGACCTCCATTATCCAGGCCTCCATCACCCTGGCCTCCATCACTGACCTCCATCACCCTGACCGCCATCACCCTGGCCTCCATCACCCTGACCTCCATCACCCTGACCTCCATCACCCTGACCTCGATTACCCTGACCTCCATCACCCTGACCTCCATCACCCTGACCTCGATTACCCTGACCTCCATCACCCTGACCTCCATCACCCTGACCTCCATCACCCTGACTTCCGTCACCCTGACCTCCATCACCCTGACCTCCATCACCCTGACCTCCATTACCCTGACCTCCATCACCCTGACCTCCATTACCCTGACCTCCATCACCCTGACCTCCATTACCCTGATCTCCATCACCCTGACCTCCATTACCCTGATCTCCATCACCCTGGCCTCCATTACCCTGATCTCCATCACCCTGACCTCCATCACCCTGACCTCCATTACCCTGATCTCCATCACCCTGACCTCCATTACCCTGATCTCCATCACCCTGACCTCCATTACCCTGACCTCCATCACCCTGACCTCCATTACCCTGACCTCCATTACCCTGACCTCCATCACCCTGACCTCCATTACCCTGATCTCCATCACCCTGACCTCCATTACCCTGATCTCCATCACCCTGACCTCCATACACCCTGACCTCCATCACCCTGACCTCCATTACCCTGACCTCCATCACCCTGACCTCCATTACCCTGATCTCCATCACCCTGACCTCCATTACCCTGATCTCCATCACCCTGACCTCCATCACCCTGACCTCCATCACCCTGACCTCCATTACCCTGATCTCCATCACCCTGACCTCCATTACCCTGATCTCCATCACCCTGGCCTCCATTACCCTGACCTCCATTACCCTGACCTCCATTACCCTGACCTCCATTACCCTGATCTCCATCACCCTGGCCTCCATTACCCTGATCTCCATCACCCTGACCTCCATCACCCTGACCTCCATTACCCTGATCTCCATCACCCTGACCTCCATTACCCTGATCTCCATCACCCTGACCTCCATCACCCTGACCTCCATCACCCTGACCTCCATTACCCTGACCTCCATCACCCTGACCTCCATTACCCTGATCTCCATCACCCTGGCCTCCATTACCCTGATCTCCATCACCCTGGCCTCCATTACCCTGATCTCCATCACCCTGGCCTCCATTACCCTGATCTCCATCACCCTGGCCTCCATTACCCTGATCTCCATCACCCTGACCTCCATCACCCTGGATGCCATTACCCTGATCTCCATCACCCTGGCCTCCATTACCCTGATCTCCATCACCCTGGCCTCCATTACCCTGATCTCCATCACCCTGACCTCCATCACCCTGGCCTCCATTACCCTGATCTCCATCACCCTGGCCTCCATTACCCTGATCTCCATCACCCTGGCCTCCATTACCCTGTATCTCCATCACCCTGACCTCCATCACCCTGGCCTCCATTACCCTGATCTCCATCACCCTGGCCTCCATTACCCTGATCTCCATCACCCTGGCCTCCATTACCCTGATCTCCATCACCCTGGCCTCCATTACCCTGATCTCCATCACCCTGGCCTCCATTACCCTGATCTCCATCACCCTGACCTCCATCACCCTGGCCTCCATTACCCTGATCTCCATCACCCTGGCCTCCTTTACCCTGATCTCCATCACCCTGATCTCCATCACCCTGGCCTCCATTACCCTGATCTCCATCACCCTGGCCTCCATTACCCTGATCTCCATCACCCTGGCCTCCATTACCCTGATCTCCATCACCCTGACCTCCATCACCCTGTCTCCATTACCCTGATCTCCATCACCCTGGCCTCCTTTACCCTGATCTCCATCACCCTGACCTCCATCACCCTGGCCTCCATTACCCTGACTCCATTACCCTGACCTCCATCACCCTGACCTCCATTACCCTGATCTCCATCACCCTGGCCTCCATTACCCTGATCTCACACCTGGCTCCATTACCCTGATCTCCATCACCCTGACCTCCATCACCCTGACCTCCTCACCTGCCTCCATTACCCTGACCTCCATCACCCTGACCTCCATTACCCTGATCTCCATCACCCTGGCCTCCATTACCCTGATCTCCATCACCCTGGCCTCCATTACCCTGATCTCCATCACCCTGCCTCCATTACCCTGACCTCCATTACCCTGATCTCCATCACCCTGGCACCATTACCTGATTCCACACCCTGACCTCCATCACCCTGACCTCCATCACCCTGCCTCCATTACCCTGACCTCCATCACCCTGACCTCCATTACCCTGATCTCCATCACCCTGGCCTCCATTACCCTGATCTCCATCACCCTGACTCTCCATCACCCTGACCTCCATCACCCTGACCTCCATCACCCTGACCTCCATCACACCTGACCTCCATTACCCTGACCTCCATCACCCTGGCCCCATTACCCTGACTCCATCACCCTGACCTCCATTACCCTGATCTCCATCACCCTGACCTCCATTACCCTGATCTCCATCACCCTGCCCCATTACCCTGATCTCCATCACCCTGCCTCCATTACCCTGACCTCCATCACCCTAACCTCCATCACCCTGACCTCCATTACCCTGATCTCCATCACCCTGGCCTCCATTACCCTGATCTCCATCACCCTGGCCTCCATTACCCTGACCTCCATCACCCTGACCTCCATTCACCCTGACCTCCATCACCCTGACCCTCCATTTACCCTGATCTCCATCACCCTGGCCTCCATTACCCTGATCTCCTCACCTGGCCCCATCACCCTGACCTCCATCACCCTGACCTCCATCACCCTGACCTCCATTACCCTGATCTCCATCAACCCTGGCCTCCATTACCCTGATCTCCATCACCCTGGCCTCCATTACCCTGATCTCCATCACCCTGACCTCCATCACCCTGACCTCCATCACCCTGACCTCCATCACCCTGACCTCCATCACCCTGACCTCCATCACCCTGACCTCCATTACTGATCTCCATCACCCTGGCCTCCATTACCCTGATCTCCATCACCCTGCCTCCATTACCCTGACTCCATCACCCTGACCTCCATTACCCTGACCTCCATCACCCTGACCTCCATTACCCTGATCTC